GCGGCCGCAGTGGCCTCGTGGTTACAAAGTGCCAATTATTAATCTCGAGTTTGTTAAGAGTGGTTTTCTATAGATTAAAAGCACAATACGACTTCCTGAAGCCTCTTTAAAAGCTACACGTCTCTCATCTATACCGTCCCGTCGAAAGCTGTCACGTGGGAACCAACCGTTAGTTCACTAATACTGAATTCTTCCTAACCTTACTTAAACTTATAGTTATAAAATCAATTCGCTGCATTAAAGCTTCTCTTGTTCTTCTTCTTTTCTTTTTTTTTGGATATAAATTTGATAAATTATGTGTAAGCAGTCAGTCGCAAGCACCAAAAAACCAGGCAAAAGCCACAATAATAATATTTTATGTAAGGAAACATATTCATGTGCAATTATCCATTTAAGAAAATATTGCAGTTTAATTATACTCACATAAGGATGGCTATAAATATATTGAGAAATTATACAGTGCCGCCTTACTTAAGTGTGTACGAGGGAGGCTCCGAATGTTTGTATAACGAACATGATAGAGTAGCGATGGAGACGCTGTCTGCTAATGAGGAACTCGGTTCTTTAAAAACTCTTTACATCCCCTCTACACGGACAGTCGAGACGAAGATGTCTGCAGCCACAAACAGTTTAAGCGTCGGAGGAAATCTAAAGTCTGTTGATTTTTGAGATTGAGAGGTTATCTTACTCACCGATATCAGGGAAAAAAAATACTATCAAACTTAATTTGAAAGAACGGCGGTGTGAAACCAAACTCTACACCAATTTCGAAAGAGGTAGGCTGAATTATCTCAACAATTTAAGATCAAAGGTCTGTAGTTGAACTCGATAACAAAACTCACTGGGTGCGGTATCCGTTTTTAGGCCTCATAAACTGCATTGCTTTTTCGAGCTTAAGTCTCATGCATCTTAGCTTTCATACCTTCAACAACCAGGATGAGTTATTAGGTACCAAAAAGTGCCATCTTCTCGGATTATTGATTCGCGTGTAGTTTCGAATAATACGCTATTAATCGACCGTGATGTTCGAAAACGTGATAAAACAAATGGCAAACTATGAAATTGTCTGATTAGGAGCTCTTATTGGAACAGCCATCTAAAACCCAACCTAATGCAGTGATTTTGCAGAGAACATTGCGATGAATGTCTTCTTCTATACTGCCGTAGACAGCACTTACGTGATTGTCAATATCTGTTTCTTTTTTTCGCCCTTTGGCGTCAATTGGAGGTAACAACAAGTAAAGGAAGGACCTTATCCACCTAATATTTCCAACGCAGTGGAGGTCTTCCTCTTCCTCTAGTTCCACTGAGTGGCACTGCATCGAATACTTTCAAAGCTGGTTTGTTCTCCTTCAGCTGGACAATATGACCTAGCCAGCGTAGCCGGTTCAACTTAATCAGCTGAGCTATGTCAATGTCGTCATATACATATCTTGTATAGTATTGGCAGAAGTTGTCGTCGTGCAACACCACGTACCACATATCAGAAAGGGAATGATGTGGGACTTGTGAAGTTTGGTTTTGGCGAGAAAGAATTTTACTTTTCAGTCCTAAATAGCACCTGTTGGCAAGAATGATTCTGCATTGGAATGCAAGGCTGACACTATCTAAAGAAATGTCTATAGCTTTAAAGTTATGACAGTACACAGTAACGTGGGAGCCGAGATCTACCAGATCCATACGCTTCGCTTCCTAATCCAGTATGTAGAAAGCAGAAATTAAACGGCGCGGCTATTGAGGTCAATGATGTCAATGTCTATAGATTAATCCCTCTCGAATAAGGTCATACTGTCGGTGCCTATTTTGAAATCGACGAAGGTGGTTTGTATCGATCCTCTTTTCATGGGTATTTTCTAAGACTCTGCGAATGGTGTATTTCTGATCAATTACGGATTTACCAGGTCTAAAACCACAATGTCAAGGGCCACGGCAACTTTTACGAACAGCGCGTATATCCTACCTTTGCAAAGGTTAATACTGGAATACTGGAACGACATGAAAGTGACAAAATCTCTACACTGTCTAAATCGGTACTCACGATAGACGTAAGGTTAAAAAACTGCCGCATTGTCCAATCCTTGGCAAAGCTCTAAGAAGCTTTACGAAAAACAATAAATACCTCGAGCATTTAGGAAACTGAAATTGTTGCAATGACAATTATACGCCGGAAGAACTCTGAAGGTGATTCACCTACTTCGCATTTGAAGCCTGGCCAACAGTGAGAAAAATTAACCAGTCCAATAATAGCTTTCTTTACAAAGAGTCCTAAATGAATATTTTCTTTCCACGTCTTTCCACGTGCCGTTGGCCCTCCGCCTGTCCCCTCGTATCCACGTTTATTAATATATAATTGCTATTGACACACTCATGGTCACCATCAACTTCACCCTCGGTAATTTGAAGGTCTGGCGGGCATTAAAATTTGTTATAACCAACAACAGATGCGAATTTATTTCTCCCAAATAATATTGAAAATAACAATGAATAATATTGCACCGTTAAAATTAAAGAATCCAGAGGCTTGTGCTTATTTGCACACACACACATTCATACATTCAGATCCGCCGGCAGGTGTGGTATGATGATGTGTGTAGAATATGGCGCATTTGGTGGCCTGAAGGCGATGTGTCGTTTTGCTTCATGCGATTTATGACTTCCTTCGAATGGAGTGCGACCTTTCACGATGTCAACGACTGTCGGCTGTTGTCCTTTGGTTATTTGGCTCCTTAGATGGTGGGCTGCCTGCTTTACGGGATGGTTGTGTGTGCACTTTCGTTTTTATTTATGCGTTATTTATTTTGTTTTATAGCTCTTTCGCTGCTCTGGAAGGAGTCCTTAGCGGAAATGACATTGTGAGCAATGGTAACTTGTTGGGCGCTCAACAATACTGACCTTCTAATGACATTCCGATATGGTCACCATTTCCATTTATGGCAATCGTTTTAACGCATACTTTATTTAACGACTTTAGATTTACTTTTTGTTGTTTTCTTTCCCTCTTTCTTTCTACACATGCACACTTGCACACATGCATAAAGTTAGGTACTCGTATGTATGTACATACATATATACAAATGTATGTACATATGAGGACGTAATTCAATTCGTCTTCTAAAGTCTATAAAAATTCAGGCAATCAGAGTGAGACAAATTGACCCACCTTAATGTTCATAATCACCCTGAAGGAAATTGTGGTAGGTTTCCTGTTACAAGTAGCTTTTCCGCTTTCATGACAAACGGAAGATCCCGAAATGGAAAAAAAATCGAAGGATATTATAGGTTGCGTAACCAGGTGGGTGGGTGGTGTGGCTTCTGTTGCTGTGAGGTTATCCAGCAGTACTACGTATGTCGAAAAGTTTTTACGTACGACGGATGTTCTGTGTATAACTTTATGGTTTCCTGTTGAGTAACCGTAGTGAAGAGTCCTCTACCTGTTGACCTAGCGGGCTTAGGCCGTCAAAAAAAAAAAAGATTGGTCGGATAAAATCCGGTTCAACTACGGTGTGTGGAGCCGATTGTCTGAAGAATGAGCAGTATATTGATAATATCCTGTATGAAAGTGAACTATCAAGCCGACCTTTCCGACTCCTTCATTGCACGACAGCTACAACTGCAATTAGTGAAATCCCCACCTACCCTCTTCACAAGCTGGACGAAGGAGCTCCGGCTTGAATGGGAGAGCAATAAAATCATCATATCTTTACCTGACAGCACCTGGGGGAAACACAAAGGAACGATGCTCGCAGCTTACAAGGCATTTGGCCAGCCTATCTTTAACTACGTTTCACCAATAATGGACGTTGGCACACTGTAGAATCAGTCCGGCTGAGTTGAGGTTCAAGAATTTTCCCGAGGTAAGACACAACTATCCACGAGTTTCCGCGACAGCCGGTTCTTTATACCCGAACGACCAGATTTTTATCTGGCCAAAGTTTGTCACTTCCGCAACATTTGTGGAATATTTTTGCGGCTACAACAAAAAAAAACAGCAACCACAAAAGCACTTGGAGAAGCTACAAGCTTGCCAGAGCACTACCATGACAACTGTGATGCTTCCCATCATCGCTGATGTCGCCTATACACAACTTACAAAGTGAAACGTCTATGATCTGTGTAAGTAAAGTTTGCTAGGATGATACCGTTGGAACCATCCTAACAGACACTTTTTAGAAGCTGAGCCACCACCTAAGCACAGCAGGAGCGGAGTACTCGACTTGAATAACTACATACAATATGTTAGAACCGAACAGCTGGACAGAACGGCATGCCGACAGGCTTTAAGTGAGAGACCGTCGCAACTTCGTGAGCTCGCTTTCTATGTATGACGTTCTAGGAATCCAACCACTCCCTATTGCTAGACCTCGAGAATCCTGTTTAATACTGTTAGAACTAAGGTCTGGATAAGTAATACCTATCCACTCAACGTTTGGCCATCATGAAATGAATCTTCGCAACGATACTAACATCCTCTTTGCATGACCTACACCATTCTACCTCTGGTCCGAAATTGACAAAACAGCTCTTTCCCTGGACCTGAAGGTAAATAAGCTAGACGGCTTGGATTGATTTGGCTCGCTCCTAGGCGGAGGTCTAATAGCTGCAACAACAACAACAACAACAACAAGATAACAACGTCATGTCGTGCGTGTCGTATTTTTACTCGACCAATGACTGTCATTTCCCAATAACTAATTTGCGGAATATTTTTGGAGCCACAACAACAATAACAACTTCATGTATTTTAACAAATACACCATCATATTAGACCATTATATTCCTTTTTCTTCTCACTTTTAAAGAGATCGAGTTTCAGCATATACCCATTATGCAGTTCCTAATCGGAGACTTCCGAGCTTCTTTTATATCCGGTATTTACTTTATTTAACATAAGGCATCGTTGCCGCTTCATGGATAAACTCAGTAATAATAATAATTTGGACGCACTCACCAAGTACTATTTCTTAATCCATTGGAAAAACTCCAATAATAAATACGAAAACTTTTATGATTTCATTCATTTCACTTTTTCTTCAAGTTTTTATATTCGGTGTTATTTTCAATTTTACCATTCACAAAAGCACTAGCAAACCGCTATCGAGCATTTCTAAAATGTCAAACTATAAATATAATATTACTGACTTGATAATATATGAGGATGTACCCAAGTATAAACTACAATAAACACGTTTTTTTATCTCGTGCTCACAACGGCTTCTTTCCGTGCGGCATCCTGTAGCAATTGTGTATCTACCTCATCACCTGGCAGTTGGACGTACCGCACAACGGAACCGCGAATGAAGCAATTTTTCACAGATAACATATGTGGATACTTATCGGGGTCCGTAACATTAATATCTGTAAGTTTGATATTCAGATACTGATCCACCGAATGCAATGTGCCACAAATACTAAAACGAAGTAAGCATAAAAAAAATATAGATAAGCCGGGAAAATGTGCTATATGAAATGTCAACATACCTCAGATCGTTCTTTAATTCCACCACAACGTCTTTGCCGACAAGTGATTTGAAGAATGAGTAGAAGAGCTGGTAGGCAGAGCATACAAAAATAAATATTTTCAATATTATTTATTCATTTTTTAATTAATTACTTACCATATTGTAAATGTGTTTGGCCGATTCCAGTAGAACTTCAATTATTTGGACGCTTAGCGCAATGAAACAGCTGACTGCGCGGCCAGACGGAGAACGTGCATTTCCTGTATTAGTTTTAATGCTCTTCAAAGTCTGGCAACGCAAGTTTATTCAGGCAACCTAGAATTATTTAGCAAAGCTATGCACTTTTTAAATGCTACACAGCGCCATCTGGATTTCGATTGTTCTTTTTTAGTGAATTAAAAAAAAAACAGACTAATTTGGTATTGAACTTCTAAGGACGTCCTTAAAGCTCTTAATAAATTTATAAAATAAAGCTTACCTCATTTTAAGCTTTGCTATAATTTTTCGGTTTCATAACGATAATTTAATATTTATGAAGATTTGTTTGGAAGAATTGATTTGTATGAAAGCTGAAACGGTATGATTAGTTGAAGAATTTTTATTAGTTCCCCCGCGGGTTAGGGGTTCTATTGGCCCACGGTAAGGCAAGCCTCTCGTAAGAGGCGACTAAAATCCGATAGTCCCGCTATAGTCGGGTCTTTATACTGAAGAGAGCGAATGTAAAGAACTTGAGGTAAAGACGCAAACCAGAAATCAGAAATACAAAGGATTTCCTAATTAATGTGATAACTATATTGGAATTTTCAATTTCTCTCTTACCGAGTTTTGAGAAATTTATTTAACCACCTGGTTGGAGAAAGAAATTATCTGATAATTTGTTGCAAGACCCATCTTCAAGGTTATACAAAAATGCATAAGAGATTCTGTAAGGTAGATTTTTCCGCGATTTTTTTTCCGAAATAGGGGAAGGATTACATGCTGCCAAGCAGTGTCATGGTCGACTATATAAAAATTCACCAACTGTTGTGCGTGGTGGGTTGCCTCTAGATTTAGCAAAAACAGCGCGTCGAGAGCTGGTCTAAGCCCTTTATGGATTGTGCGAAGATCAACCGACTGTGAGGTATCCAGTTCGTGAACTGTTACCTCATAACTATAACTAAAGCGACTTTTTATGGATTTAGATGAGTTCAGTTAGGTTAGGTTAGGTTACACTGGCTCACTGATAAACCTTACACAAACTTGTGATGCGTGAAGAATGTTCAGTTTAATTCGAAGTGTACTCCCCGTCGTTTTGACATCAACGCCTTGTGCTAAGCTTAGAAAGGTTTGGGTATCTCTTTCTTCTGAATATTAAAGCTCTTACATGTCTAAAATGTGACTTAAATGGACCATAGAGAAACATCAGGTATTCTAACATCTCACTCAGGTCTTCTTCCCAATACTACCTACATGTGTTCCTGCTAGTAATGGCTACTTTGCTGGTGTAAGATGCCAATAGCTTAGGAGTTGTAGTTAGGCCTACAACTAACCTACAATCTTTCAAAGACCGCGTTATCAAAACAAATGTTTTCGATCAGTAGATGTGCAGTTGCTTCCCTGCAGCCACAGTACCCACAACCTGTCTGCTATTAAGTGCTTTTTCCGTTGTAATATGCTATAAGATGCCGTTTCACTGGAATTACCACGGCGTTAGCTAGCTTAGCAGCTTTTCCTGCCACGAAGGTCTCGACCTTGGGAATACTGTAATACTACGCAAGCTCAGTGCACTAGATATTGGAGGGCACTTCGTCAGCTATTTTTGATCCGTCCGTCTAAATATTGTAAGCTCTGCTGGTGGGCCACAGGTCTGTGCGCAAGTCACCCTCTTTTATTGAAACTTTCTTTTCCAGTTGAAGTGAGGGGTCGTAGTCTATTTTGTCCACCATATACTTGGTTATTGAGCTATACCCAAGGGATATAGCAAAACATTCAACAGACGCCACAAATGCCAAACAGGATATCATTCAAAGCTTTCCACTACTAGCTCTATCGGTGATTTCGAGTGGCCAATGTAATGCCTCTTACCGCATCTGTTATGCAGAGTACAAAGAGTCGATGATTTATTGTATGAAGTTTTGCTGGCCTCTCCTCCGTATTGAGCTAGCTGTCGAGGAGATACTTTTGAACTTCGGTGGTTTCCACACAAGGATCTTCCAACTTCTTTTAAAAACTACTTTATATGCTTCAGCGGCATTTATCTGTAAGTGGGCCAATGGCGTCCAACGAGTTTGTGCTAGCCTGACTTCGGTCCACTCGTGTTATTCTTCCCCTATATCGCCGGACTTTTTATCCAAAGGAGGATGAACAGTTCTACCGGGGCTGCTTTCACTGAAGACAGTGTTAAATGCTCCGCATACGTTCTTAAAGACGCATATATTTTCAACAAGTATGGTTCTAAATCATAACTGGTTTATATAGACTTAAACGGATCGACATTTTGTTATGAAATTTCGTGGAATGCAATCCACGACATCTCGTAAAGGTTGGAAATCCGACTCCTGCCAGGAAAGCTGCACAAGTAACTTATAATTCCTATTCGACTTTATGCAGAAGAGTGGACGATGTCGATATCGGATGATTCGAAGCAAGGAATTCTCAAGATAAAGGTTTTGCAGAAGATTTATGGTCCTCTGCATCTAGGCGACTACGAATACCGATGGCGTGGAAACGATAAACTGTGACAAAGTTGATGGCATAAAGAAGGATGGACGAAAACACTCGAGCAGCGGAGGGTGAAGATCTCCAGTCCCTCTGAAGGATCGGGTAGAGACCAACCTGATCCCACTTGGTGTCCAGCTTTGGCGCGCTTTTGTTGACTCGGCTTTAATACCGTAGAAGAAGAAGAATACCTCATAACGCTCCCCGGCCCGGCTCTCGCCCTGCTAATTTTATGTGTACGAATTTTCGAATTTGTTTAATTTCCTTTTTTTTCTTTATTTAAAACTAACAATAATAATAAGATCTGTTTGTTTGGTTTTTGATTCTTTTTGTTTTTGTTTTTTTTTTTTGTTTTTGATAAAATTTAAATTTTAAATCACAAATGTTGTTACTACAGGTGTATGCAACATGCCAGAATCTGCCTAATTAATTTGGTTTCTTGGGTAGTATTAACTTAAATACTTATGTATGTAGGTATATATGCATGTGTGTATGTATGTATATAGTACATATAAATAATTAATTGCCTCATATTCATTCACAATTCTTGTTCTTGTTACAATACTTTATCTCTTCACGCGAGAAACTGGCGCGCTCTACGCGCTTCCACTCGTATTCCTACTTGGGCCGCAATTCATTGCATACTTTTGTGCGTATGTACATATGCATGGTGTATGTATGTATGTACATACGAACGACCCACATCACATCAACCTGTCCACCACTGCTGGACCTCTTAAAACTAATAAATTCGTATCCTCTACTCCACATAGCCCCGCCAAACGGCTTATTGCTCGACATTAAAGTAAGAATTCTGCATCAAATACAGTTTGTCAATCGGATTGACAAGACTCGTGCTGAGATTGGCAATCATATCGTGCGGATTCGAATGCTGATTACCCGATGAGCCTGTGGACTGTAGCTCCAGATTATTCAGCGATAAGGAATCAGCATCATCGTCTAGCTGATCGAAATTACTGCCGTCCAGAGACAAGTCGGAACTACAGAAACTATCATTGGAGTTGTGCGGGTAATCTGTGTAAGATAGTTAAAGAAGCGTGTAAGTATGTTTGAAAATAAATTATACCACCATTTCTTGTTACTCACCATCGGGAGAGAATGGCAGATTGGGATTTAGCGGCTGACTGCCGAAACCGCTATCGCCCAAACTCAAATAAGCACTCTCCACACCGGTTAGACCACATTCCTGCTTTATGTCCTTATCATCCTTACCAATGTCCTTCTCATCGCCACTGCGTGCATTCACGCCGCCGCCATTGCCACCACCACCACCACCACCATTTTTCGCTTTACGTTGTATCTTCTTCATTTTGGCGCGTTGGTTTTGAAACCACACCTGCACGACGCGCACCGACAAACCCGTGTCCTTCGCCAGTGCCTCTCTCACCTTTCGACAGGGTTTGGGCGATTGATCGAATGAAGCTTTGAATTGTTTACGCTGCTGCGACGTCAGTATTGTACGTGGCCTCTTCGGGCCGCGTCGCCCATCACGTGGACGCATCAAATCATCGTCGTCCAATCCAACAAAACCACAATGTTGTGCTGTTGCCAAATAAAGCTCTTTCTCCAGATCGTGCCGACAGCAGAATAGTTGACCATCGCGTAGCAGAAATTGTTCGCCCTTCTGCAGGGGCAGTCGACAGATGTAGCAGATGAAACAAGGCAGGTGGAAAATGAATGACGGTATCGGTCGCATGACCATTTCGTGAGGCAGAATCGGGTGACAGCAGCCGGTGCATTTGATGCTGAATAATCTGTTTTGGGAGGTGAAAGAAAATGTTAAAAACAAAGATAATAAAGACGGAAGTCAATATTTAAATTTTTCATTTTCTTACCGATCGTAATCGAGTTTGCAGTAAAGCTTTGAATTGCGCACGTAGCAGGTATTGAATAACTGTATGCCACAATAACAACACGACAAACAGTGTTCGTGCCAATTGGATTCACCGACATTCATCAAATAGCGATCGTGAATTTTTTGCCCGCAACCTTCGCATATTTCGTAATTCTTTTCGCATTTGACTTGTCCAACTTCTGGAAGTACAGAGAAAGTGGGGGTTACATTTAGAAGACTAATAAAAGCAATGTGTTTGTTAAAGAGAGACTTGAAGATTATCTGTTTTGAAATATTTTCGTATCACTAGAACCTTCGATTAGTGTTGTTTTTCATATTTTAGACACACTCCTTGAGTATTTCCAAATAACAGATACCTCAAAATCGATGTGTAGCCAAGATTAACTACGATCTCTTTCCCCAGGTTACGTGTGATCGACCTTTATATATCTCAACCTAATCTCAAATTATTTATATTTAGATATTGAAGTTCGTCTGTTCTTCACCTTGCTGTACTTTGGAAGTTCAAGTCATTGCTAACCCTACATGATTTAAATGACCGGTTCATGAAATTTTTATAAACTTCGATCAGTTTGAGGCACTTTTTAACATAACTTTTTGGCACATATTGGGCGGTGTTTCAGCCGGTGGTGATGAATTTTGATTCTCAAGATTTCAAGAGTTAAAAGTTTATTAGCATAAATCCGGTCTTTAGTGTAGACCCACAAGAGAGGAACAATCCTGTAAAATCGCACGATCTCTGTCGCCAATTGACATCGCCAGGACAAGAAACTACGCTGCCACGAAAGATCTAGCCTTAGAGAAACATATTCGCTCGTGTCGTGTGGGTATGTGTTGAAAACTCATACCTCCAAAGTTGTGTTCTTCAAATTCAGGTCAAAAAAAGTCGGTTATTATACGACCATATTGTCGCTTTCAAAAGTAAAGTCCAATCACAAGTTGCAGTCGTTATGCTGCGGAGGTATGGACGATGTCAATATCTGATGAGTCGACGTGAGGAGAGCCCGAGAGAAATGGTTTGCATAAGATTAATGGTCCTCTACAAGTTGGGAGTGGCGAATACCGCAGAGGACGGAACGATGAGCTGTACGAGACATTGACATAGTTCAGCGAATCAAGAAACAGCGGCTACGTTGGCTAGGTCATGTGGTCTGGATGGACATGAATACCTCAGCCTTGATAATTTTCGATGCAGTACCCGCCGTTAGAAGCAGAGGATGGAGAATTCCACTCCGTTGGAAAACTCAGGTAGAGAGGGACCTGGCTGTACTTGCTATCTCAAATTGACGCCGAATAGCGAAAAGAAGAAATTAATAGCTTGTTCTTATTAATTGGGCTAAAATCATTAAGCGGCATCTACGCCAGTAAAAGAGAAGAGGAAGGCCCAATCACTCCTCCGGACCAAGGAGCCTACCATACAATACGATTTCTTTCATTCCCCGAGTGATAAATATGCCGTTTACCTGAAGAAAATTTTGTTCGAAAGAATGCCCGTCCACTGCTTGCCTGTTCCAGCACTCAATCGACATATCAAATGTACGGCATTGTGAATGGTCAGCTGACTTCAGTTGTTGTGTGGATGTAGATGTGCAATATATGTCATAATGTGCCGTAAGAAACGTCCAGAAATAGATATACTCGGTGTTTCGGCTACAGTACCGAGAATAGTGATATAAGTCGACATGATGAATGAGGTCTTACAATATCTGTAACCGATCCAGTCTCTTACAAATTTTATGTGCACCATAATCTACTCTCATTCTTTTGTTTATGGTTCAATCAACTCATGGCTTTCGGTCTTAGACCAAGTATCTTCTGGGTAACCAAAAAATATCCATTTGAGGGCATGCTAAAGTGAAAAGGCGAATACCATGCGGTTGTGCGTAGAGTTTCGGATCAACCACATGAAAAGTAAAATCCAATGAAAAATCTAAGTATACCTCGGACGAGAGAACCCTCTATTGATGACGATACCCGCAAGAGATTAGGTGGAGAGTGACGTAGTTTCACTTGCTATTTGCAACTGGCGCCAAACAGCGAAAGGAAGACATGAATGTCGTGCTAATCACGTAAGCGGTGCCAACGCCAATAAAGAAGAAGAGGAATCTCCTCTTATAGCACGAACCGTGGCCACATTTTAATCACCATTTTTGTAGTGGGTTCTTACGCTAGTAAAGTATTACAACTAGGTCCTTACATAATATCTACTATTCAAACTTGTCTTCCGTTAAAATACAAATTTTTCGTCTTATATCAGGTGTACAACTTTGCTTCTTGTAGTGCCGACCTGCCTCTTCCAAAACCTTCATACCAATAAGAAAGGAGCTAAATTCTAGTGAGGAATTCGTCCAAAGCCAGCTCGAAATAGTATCTCAAGTGAAATTCCCGAAACTGAGCGAGGCACTATTTAAAGAAGGAATATTTGTAAGTTCATAAAAACGGCAACTGTTTGTAAATTCAGATGAGATCTTTGAAGGATGCCTGGCAATATTTTGTGAATGTTGTCCAGATCTTCCTTTGATACCATAAATTAAAAAATTTTAAAGAATTAAGAAATGAACGTAAAGCTTTGGGGTGCAATATGTCATTGAAAATAAATGTGCTAGACTTTCATCTGGATTCTCTTTCCGTCAAGATATTTCCTTAATGGAGGAGCGTTATCAAGGGAAATAGAGTCAAGGAGGTAAGTTAAACAATGAAATTTTTCTAAGTGCAGATTTTTGTGGTTCTTCTGAAAATAGATGCTTTGATGCCACAATCAACGTGACGTATTACTATTAGTACTATACTAATGCTACATACATTCAAAATTTGGGAGGAGTTTTCATGTGACAAAAATAATTTCGCTATTGTTAACAACTGCAATTAATTGGCGAATATTTTATATTATTTCATATAGTTTTTATTAGTTTTTTAAATAATCTTATAAATATAAATCTATGTCCGTTTGGAAAAATGCAATAATCTCCAAAAACCTCCATAAGTAGCCGACCGATTGACTTGGAATTTCGTCAAATTGTATCTATGATACCTGGGAAGGTTTTAACGAAAAAAGTGGGAAGTGAACCAGGCACAGACCTATTCGAAGAAACCTTATTTATTGCTCGATTTACTTGAAATTCGGCACTTAGGTGACTTTTTGCTTAAATGAGATTGGAGATCGGAGATTGGCCCAATCAAAAATTCGATCTATTCAACTCTCCTGGAAGTGAACCAATGTCAATGGTAAAACCAAAAATGTTGGATTCCCACAATTATTGAGTAAATTAAGGTTTGATAAAAAGATGTCTCATTATTAATTTTTCATACATTCAATGAGTATAATATATAACAGACTAAGGGTAATTACAGTAAAAAATCGAAATACTCAGGGGTGTTATAGAAATCTACACAAAATTGAATCAGAATTGAAAATCAATATCTGTTTTAAATAATGTTATGAAACCGACTTTTTATTTATTTTTTCGAAGTTAAGCAAAACCGATTTTCGAATCAGCTCCAGTCAAACTTGTTCAAATTGCCGGGTTATTTAATTTTATTTTTTCACTGGATTTAACAAATTTTAGTTAGAAATAAAATGGAATCAGCCGTGATATCATTTTTGATGATGAAGGAGAAATCAGGGTAAAGTAAAGCGCTAAATTTGAAGGGTCAAAAGAAATCCGCTGACAATATGCATTCTACCTTGACGATACAACATTTTTTTGTATGTTTATAGATTTATAGACCAATATCGTCTTAACAAAGGAGTCTTTTTAATAGAGCTGGATGACCATGAAAATAAGTTAGGTAAGCTGTCCATCCCATCTGTTCTCCAACTCGCAGCTACAATGCGGGTTTTGGTAGAAGACTCCTATCGACGGTCTTTGAATAATGACACAAATATCTCCGTTGCCCGATCTGACCTTGATTGAGCATATATTCTGCAAATTTAAATTTAGTTTCTTCGCTAAACTTTTCTCTGAACTAAAAGATCGGTAAGTTGACCAGGAAAAGAATTGATTTGTATCTCTTTTGTGCTTTTCCATCTTCTCTACCTAATCGCCATTGATTTCAAGGTATTTCTTTAGCCTATAGCTCCACTTCTAAAAACAGTCTTCAAACTTTTGCTTTTTAAGTTTATCAGGGTTAGCATGAACCGCATTACTTATCTCCTCGTTACTATTAAAGATCTTTCCTTTTAAATTTTATTTTTGTTTTTGGAAATATCATGAATCACAATGTGCTATATCCGGGGAATGTGGTGCTGGAGGTATTTCTTCGATCCCAGAGATCGCTGAACTTGATCAGCTTGAAAAGCAAAAGTGTGAAGGCTGTTTTCAGAAGTGTGGAATGGCGCGTTGTCATGATGTTGAAAGCAGCGCCGAAAATCCTCTTTCTTCCCCTTTTTTCCAACAAAGTTTTGAAAAGAAGAAGAAGAAGATTAACAGCAATGATTTTAAATTGGGAGAAGTAAACTGACATCATTACTTTTGCTGCTGATTTTACAGGTGGGTTTGCTCTTGTTGGGCCATACACCACGCACTGCTATTTGGTTTCTGGAAAGAACCAAAATTCGTCACCACTACCGACTTTACTAAAGCTACTACACTGACCATTTTCGATTTTGTTTAGGAAAATTTGAGCAAAATGCACTCGAGCCTCTTTTTTCATTTAAAATTCGTGGAAACCATCGAGCAGGTTTCTTTCTGTATCCCAGAGGATTACTTAATATTCGCGATACAGCCACGGCATTCGAGCCAAACTCATTGGCAATCATTACTTATATCAATCGCGGGTCTTCGTCTACTTTGGACTTCACCAGAGCTACAGTGACAGAGATTTTGGTCGACCTTCTTGGGGCTCTTGGAGGATCACACTGCGAATTTCTGTTTGGTGGAATTCCAACTGACCTATCCTCAGCTATCTTGTGTCTTCTCCTCCCCAATTTAGCCTATCATTCTAAAAATTGAGAGAAAGGCTAACAAAATAATTGCAAAAGATTTGATATTTTTAGATTTAAAAAAAAAAAAACAAATTGAAAGTCACCAACTGACTGAACTTTTATTAATCCCCTCGTATCTGCATATAGGGTGGATGGGCATAAAGCAATGATAACGCAATATCAAAAAGCTAATACAAATAGATATACATGTATGTATGAATTTTTTATTATTTATTTACATATGCATACAAACTG